CAATATATATATATATATTGATTCAGCTGGACATATTAGACTTTCATTTGTGGTTCCCTGGCAGTAAATGCACTTTGGCCAGTCAGTATATCATCTAATTTAAAATGATTCTGTATTTGAGCATGTAAACATCAGACAAACATGCGGTTTTGATTGATATATATATATATATGTATAAACTATCAAACGGATCATCTATCTACAATTGACCCCTGAAAGAAAAAGAAATAGGGACATGCTGTTATTTCTATTTGGAGTATACACATTCATATAAACGGGCCCCCAGTGACACAGCGGTATGTCTGCGGACTTACAACGCTTGAAACCGGGTTTCGATACCCGTGGTGGGCAGAGCACAGATAGCCCTTGTGTAGCTTTGTGCATAATTAAAAACAAACAAACAAACAAACATATAAACGGAAACAAATATATCAGTACGATATTCAAATATTTTCACATAGTAGATTTATATTTTTCTCGACATTTTGACCTCTTATATGATCAGACTAATAGATTTTTGCATGCTTTATTACATATTATGGCATTTTTGACTTAAGATCAAGAAAGGGGAGAGGTAAGGTTATTCACAAAATGGTCAATATAGAAACTTTTTTAAGTGATAATGTTGAATATCATTTTACTTCACAAGTATCCACGCAGTTTTAAAGTTCTTTACAAAACTGTAAATAGAGGCCCAAATGTACATCGAATTGATAATATTATGCAGCGTTTTATGGTTTTTTTAATGACTCCTTTGCTTGCCAATTAATGAAATGATTAGCTATAACTTTACGGAATAACAATTGTATGACAATCCTCACATTGACGCAAATATTTGGAACCATTAGAAGCATTAATTTGCCATTTGTTACTGAAACTCTGATCGAAAACATTTCAACTGGGAAATTACTTACTCGTGTTGGCCACTAGGAGACGGCACCAGCTTCCAGGAACACTGATCAATTGGCACTATATCGAAAAATGTTTAGCACCTAAAGCTGTATAACTATGCAGAGTTCCACATTTGTAGCTTAAAGAGCATAATCAATGTGCTTGTCAGCTGGACTAACTCTAAATTTCAACACCACCCGCCATCAGAGATCCGATACAATAAATTAAAGATTAATTGTTAGAATACTCTTAGTTTTACCGAGATTTTTCAACCCTTGTTTCTCTCCTTCAATTAAAAACTTAATTCCATATAAACTACGTTTTAATTATTAAATTAACTTAAATCTATCCCACTTACTGTCATTTTAAATATTACTAAAAAACGTTAACACTTCCTAGCCATATACAAATATTTTGCAGCAGTTCTCGAAACAACACAGTATCGTCAAGACACTGCATCCAAGTTACATATTTATTGCAGATATTTGCAACATGCAACACTTAAACACTCATATTTATTACAGATCAACGAATTTTTGTATTTCTACCAGTCTGTGGAAATTTTATCTAACGTTTTCTTAGATAATTGACACATTTGAAAATTTTGAATGTGAAACGAGCTCATAAATGCAAAATAGCAAATATTAAATTCCCTTATAGTAAGTATTTAAAGCATGATTTGATCAAATTGACTAATCACAATAGCTTCCTGTATTTTATTAATATTATTTAAATATTTCAATTAGATAGATCTGTTATAATAACTCCTTTTTTTTTTTTGCTTATAATAACTCCTTTTTTTTGCGAATGGTGTTTGACCAAGTATGATGTCTATTTACACAGAATTATTTGATTGTAAACAATTATCAATATTAAAATTTTGAGTTTGACTTAGGATTTGAGCATTGAAAACACAACGACTCAGGTCATAACAATGCCTTAGACAAACACAACTACGTTGAACCACGTTAATAGAACGATAAGTGCTAAGTATTCAGGTTATTTCGAATGTGTCAAAAATGAAGTTTAAATTAACTCATTAGTAACCCGTACCGATGAGGAGTAATCTTTTGGGTGTAATGTGACACACACACACACACATAGATAACATAATATCAAACAGTATCGGCTTGGAACTTATTGATTTGCGTTCCACTGAAGCTTAATGCAGGATGAATTTAGTTGTTATCTTGCCATCGAAAGTTAGCTCTGCGCATGGCAACAATCTGGAAGCGTGCAAACGTGGCTTTATCCAATGAACCACCGTCTCGCCCTTACAACGCGGACCTAGATAGCGAATGAAACAACTGAAATCACGTGCACACTCTTATTTCGGTTTATAATAGAGGATGCGTTTGTCATTGCGGTATAGTTTCATTTCAGGAGCAAAAGAATTCGTATCTATGAGTAAAGTATACAAAATAGATTTTGTATCGACAACACTAACCCTCATAAGAGAAAACAAATTACTTATACTATTAATATATCATCCTCTACGAGACATTAGGTAAGTAAACCTTTTACTGTACGTATTATCCGATTTTGTGATTTTACTACAATAATTATCTGTTTATATTTAAACTTGGTGCTCTGAATAATTAGGACGATGTTGCTTCTATGAACTGTGTAAAACACATACAAATTAATAATATATTTCCAATATTATACAATAGGTGTATTTCAACAAACAAAACATTTAGATATGTAAGAGTTAATTTATATATTAAAGAACAAAAACGTAAATATTAATGATTGGATGAAAAAATAGGTACTTTGAAGCGCTCTTTAAGATTCAAACATACTGTTTTCTGTATTCATGTTATACAAAGGAGAAATCTAGTTTAATGCGTCCCGCCTAATGGTTGGCATAGATTTTTTTTTTCTTTGGTATTCTACTATTCTATGGTTTATCCTAAATTGTATTGCCGGATAATCATTAAGTATGAACACACTGCGTTATAATATAAATCAATATAATTTAATTTGCCCTAATTATTATCACAATTAACAGACAATGTTTTTGCTACTTGATTTAGATTATTGTCTTGAACCGAACATTAGGTGTATGTGAAAAATAATCCCAGCTTCCTTTCTTATCCAACAAACTTAGACAGGTGTGGGTATGTATGTCTGTACAAAAAGAACTCATTCTTCTGTTCCCAAACGTACTTACATAGGTGTGGGTATACCTGCACAACGGGGACTGCTATAACTACTTCCTTTCTTATCCAACAAACTTAGATAGGTGTGGGTATGTATGCCTGTACAAAAAGAACTCATTCTTCTGTTCCCAAACGTTCTTACATAGGTGTGGGTATACCTGCACAACGGGGACTGCTATAACTACTTCCTTTCTTATCCAACAAACTTGAATAGGTGTGGGTATGTATGCCTGTACAAAAAGAACTCATTCTCCTCTTCCCAAACGTACTTACATAGGTGTGGGTATACCTGCACAACGGGGACTGCTATAACTACTTCCTTTCTTATCCAACAAACGTAGCATAGGTGTGGACATACATGTAGAACGTGAATTACTTTCTCTGTTCTCAAACAAACTTATATAGGTGTGGTATATCTGTACAGCAAAATCTGTTCCTCTGTTCCTGAAAACTTTGATTATTCAGTTCTTTTTTTTCTTTAATGTTATCATTGGTGTTTACGCTTTCTGTATTGCTTTATGTTGTATTTTATTGTCATTTGAAGAGTACATAGTCCCACATTATTTTTTTTATTTATTATGGTAATAAGATACTTTTACTATTTTCTCCTGCAGTGGAAGTTCATACTTAGTGCGAATTTGGCTAAATAGCAAATCGAGACTGACAGTTTACAAAAAATCGTTTAATGGTAAAATAATATGGAGAGAAAATAAGGATGAAATAATTAAAAAGAACTAAGAATTTTTTATAAATAAAAAGTCAAACAAATATATATATATATATATGTGTGTGTGCGTGTGTAGTGCTTTATTGTTCTTTAACCAATTACATATAAATAAGGTGTGAGTATTTGAACTAAAAAATTCCCTAATTCACACTCGAATGATATTTTAGGTTTCCTGTATGCATATTTTTAGAATGTCATCAAGCTATTTATGCACTGTAGACAATTACTGTGTTTTTATATGCAATTCACTTCCAATTGTTTTTGTTATTATTACGAAACCAATCATGTTAATTCCTCATTAAATGTCAGCAGAGTTAAAAAAGTAAAGTTATATATATATATATGGACTTTAAATCGAATTACAAGTTGATTTATTTTCTTCATGTTAAGTATGTATATAGTTCGGTTGGAAATGTAGCGGCATTGCTGTTTTCGTAGTCCGTATTTTCTATAAAACATTTCATTATTGTGTAAACGTAAACTACATAACAGGATTGACAACTGGGTATAAGATAGTAAAACAGGATTGAGAACTTGGTATAAGATAGTATAATAGGATTGAGAACTGGGTATAAGATAGTATAACAAGATTGAGAACTGGGTATAAGATAGTATAACAGGATTAAGAACTGGGTATAAGATGGTATAACAAGATTGAGAACTGGGTATAAGATAGTATAACAGGATTAAGAACTGGGTATAAGATGGTATAACAAGATTGAGAACTGGGTATAAGATAGTATAACAGGATTGAGAACTGGATATAAGATGGTATAACAGGATTGAGAACTGGGTATAACATAGTATAACAAGATTAAGAACTGGGTATAACATAGTATAACAAGATTAAGAACTGGGTATAAGATAGTATAACAGGATTGAGAACTGGGTATAACATAGTATAACAGGATTGAGAACTGGGTATAACATAGTATAACAAGATTAAGAACTGGGTATAAGATTGTATAACATGATTAAGAACTGGGTATAAGATGGTATAACAGGATTAAGAACTGGGTATAAGATAGTATAACAGGATTGGGAACTGGGTATAACATAGTATAACAGGATTGAGAACTGGGTATAACATAGTATAACAAGATTAAGAACTGGGTATAAAATTGTATAACATGATTAAGAAATGGGTATAAGATGGTATAACAAGATTGAGAACTGGGTATAAGATAGTATAACAAGATTGAGAACTGTGTATAAGATGGTATAACAAGATTGAGAACTGGGTATAAGATAGTATAACAAGATTAAGAACTGGGTATAAGATGGTATAACAAGATTGAGAACTGGGTATAAGATAGTATAACAGGATTAAGGACTGGGTGTAAGATGGTAAAACAGGATTAAGAACTATGTAGACTGAGAACTATGTGATATGATGGTGCGACTTTTTCTTTTTGTTACTTTATTATCTCTGTCAAGAAATTACCATATTTATTTTCCTGTGCATGATATTCATTTGAAGTATAATATTAAATGAAACTTGCAAAATCATATTATAAAAGTTATTGCGGCCACTTTTCAACATCTTTATGTCAAGCTTAATCTAAGAACAACGTTCGTCAAACTTGTGCAGCAAGTCAGTGAATTACATGCCCATTTGTTTTGACTTATATTATACTGATATTTCCAATTACTTGTCTCGATCTTAAAGTCAAACATATATATCTATCTATCTATATATGTAGTGCTTTATTGTTCTTTAACCAATTACATATAAATAAGGTGTGCGTATTTGAACTAAAACATTCCCTCATTCACACTCGTATGATACGCTCTAGAGAAACTTCGAACTAATTGCGAAACGCAGTTGAAGTCACGTGATAACACACATATTCCCCTCCCTCAGTGCCTTCGCAACATTTAATACTGTCGTCAATTGCCTTGAAAGCAATAGCTGACAGTGCAGGGACAAGAATAATACTGATAGTTCTGTGTCCGCTGAATTCACGTCTCGTTCACCCATTCACCATCCCTTGAGTAAGATCCTTCGTTGAGAGACGAAGATTTGGTATACTGTACTGATTGTGTTTAAATTAACTTTGTGGTTAATTAGTATTACTATAAATAGCAAATTAGATATTAGTATGATACGAAAGTTAGATTGGGAATATCACTTTACTATTCGAGGTATTTTCAGTGAAATTTGTAACAAAAAGTAATGATTTTTGTTTTTCTTACAACTTCTAGTTTTAAGAACTATGAAGAGTTGCTTTTCCTTATTTTGAAAACTTGTCTCACACCTACTGATAATTTATAATTTCATTATTAGATTAAATATTAAAAGATGCCTTATAGCCCTTGTTCTTTGCTAATTTTTATAACAAACGTGGAGTAACAGGAATGATATAAAATGTCCTTGAGGACCTGTCCTGCTCTGAAAAAAGTTTGGCCTTGTGCTAATTTCTTGAAATATGTAGTATAAATCCTTGCTACAAGGCAAAATCAAAAATCAGTTTATTCGAGTCTATTCAGTACTAAAAACGATTATTGAAAAATAAGTTGCTGCTGATTTTATATATTAAAATGCATAATCTCAAAATAGTAGTTCAACTTCATTTGTAGTAGTAGTAGTTCAACTTTATTTGTAGTAGCAGTTCAACTTCATTTGTAGTAGTAGTTCAACTTTATTTGTAGTAGCAGTTCAACTTCATTTGTAGTAGTAATCCAACTTCATTTGTAGTAGTAGTCCAACTTCATTTGTAGTAGTAGTCCAACTTCATTTGTAGTAGTAGTTCAACTTCATTTGTAGTAGTAGTAGTCCAACTTCATTTGTAGTAGTAGTTCAACTTTATTTGTAGTAGTAGTTCAACTTCATTTGTAGTAGTAATCCAACTTCATTTGTAGTAGTAGTCCAACTTCATTTGTAGTAGTAGTCCAACTTCATTTGTAGTAGTAGTTCAACTTCATTTGTAGTAGTAGTAGTTCAACTTCATTTGTAGTAGTAGTCCAACTTCATTTGTAGTAGTAGTTCAACTTCATTTGTAGTAGTAGTCCAACTTCATTTGTAGTAGTAGTTCAACTTATTTGTAGTAGTAGTCCAACTTCATTTGTAGTAGTAGTCCAACTTCATTTGTAGTAGTAGTTCAACTTCATTTGTAGTAGTAGTAGTCCAACTTCATTTGTAGTAGTAGTTCAACTTCATTTGTAGTAGGAGTAGTCCAACTTCATTTGTAGTAGTAGTCCAACTTCATTTGTAGTAGTAGTCCAACAGTATTAAAAGTACTTCAGTCTATATAATTATCAAAGAAAACAGACGTTTCTTTTGTTGTTGCTATTATTAGTATTTTATTGTACATGCTTATGCTTATGGGTATAAGCTTGGAAGCTTCTTTTACATAATTTTCAAGTTTTATGCTGCATAACCTAGTCGTAAGCAAACACTTTCAAGCCTAGCTTTTTTTTATCTTTGCTTTTAAATATTTTGCTGAACATCAACACATTTCTCAGAGTATTTTGCGGTCTCACTTCAAATAATACTTAACTTAATGTTATTTACTTTAAAAGTTTTTATTATTTCGAATTTCTGTTCATTTTTAACAGGTAACAAACATGGCTCTGGTTACTGGTAGTCCCTCTCTGTTGAACAAACAGACGTTGATGAAATATCTTAGTCTTCCTCAGCCTGATAATGTGGTGCAATGTATGTACATCTGGATAGATGGCACTGGCGAATCCATACGGGCTAAAACAAGGACTGTAAATTTTGTTCCGAAACATCCGGATGGTATGTAACTCAAAACCTACTTTTAATTTAATGTGATGTAATTAAATATAAAATAAAATATTTACAATATTAATATACATAATTTATTTTATTTTACACTGTGTATGCTTTCCATAAAACATCGGTCAATCTTCCTTTGATTACTATATAAATAAGATAGTACACTCATATTCTTCGGGGATCCCCCCGTGACTGAGCAGTAACTCTGAGGACTCAAATCGCTAAAAATTGGCTTTCGATACTCGTGGTAGGCAGAGTACAGATAGCCCATTGTGTAGCGTTGCACTTAACAACAAACAAACAAATATTTTAATGAGTATTGGAAATTCTTAGTTAACTAGAAACAGAACAGTTGTAGTTAAATAAACAA